TCTTCAGATTTACATAAAACCTTAAGGCATTTAAGTTACCTGCTAAATCCCACAGGATTATATCTTCATAGTGTCCCTTAGATTTTCAAAGGTTACCTGGGTTAGCTAAACTCAAACTAGAAAACAGTGTTTAATCAAAAGATTAAGCCTGGGTCAGCATATGTAGCTATGCATAGTTGTTTCAGACAAATATTAAAAAATATTTGATATAATGTTAGCTAAAAAAAAAAAAACTTCAGGCATAAATTACAAAAGGCAAAAAATTAGCAAAAAGGGCTGGATTTCTCTAGGGTAATTAATACAATCAGCCCCAGAAACAGTATTCTGTAGCAATCTATTGACAGTATGAATGATAAAAATGTGATTAAAGAGTGATTTCAAAAGTGTAGTTTGAAATGGTGATGGAAAAAATTAAGAAAAAAACTATACTGATTTCCAAAATCTTCGATTATAAAAGCATCTCAAAAATACTACAGAAACAGAGTATTATTTTTAGCATCATTCTAAATGGTGTCATTTGGGGGGGCCAGTCACTACCACACCCCGCAGAAACAAATGAGGTTTCCATTCCATGCTTCATACTTCTGTCTCCATCGCTGTGATAACAGCAGCTTTCCTAAACTTACTCAATGCTATGTAGAGGCTTAAAAGTCAAGTTTAATTTAAATCTTATCCACATCACTAGCCAGAATTTAAGGTCATCTATGATGTGTGTTAAAAGAAGTACCCATGTACATAATGTTGAATGCTCTACTGTTTTAATTCACATAAGCCATTTTAATTGTTCGGTTTGAACAGTGAAAAGTCTATGGTGTGTCAAATGTATGACTTTTTCCAGGACACAAGATTTAAAATGCCTGTACAGTAGAGTCTCTAACTCTGACAGCATGGACAGTTGAAATGTTTGAATATATACTAAGTGCAAATTGACCATTATTCCTGCCCTTGGGGATCTTACTGTTTTGCAAATAACCACAGGGGCAAATGTCTGCTGTAGAGATAATGTAATACCAGAGTGCTTTACATGAGGGACAAATTACATCCATTTGGGAGTTGGGGAAAATTGTAGACTTTTAAAATGCTACCACTAAAAAGCAGTTTGATATTAACATGAGCTTTACAGACCAGGAAGGCAGGGAAAGCATTCCAAGTAGAAGACACCACCACAAACAAGGCAGACACTATATGGGGGAAGGGCTGCGAAGTTACAGGACAGTTTGCAAGCCTGGTGGTTCTCAAGCTTTCCCTCCCCAACCCCTCAAAAAACAAAGCAAAATAAAATAACCCACATATAATGGGTAATGTTACTATTTGCAGGCACAACTCCAAAGGCTCATTTGGCTAGGTGCCGTCCCCTTCCCCCAAATTTGCAGGCAAATCACCCAATCTGTTAAAAATTTTTTAACTTCCACAACTCAAAAGTCTTTCTAAGAGAAAGAGTTTATCAGGCCACTGCTAGCAAAAAAAGACTAGTCTTGGGGTATGGAATCTAAACCACCTGAAGCATATAGCTAGGTAGGAAACAGTATGTCCACCTTCCCCCAGGATTTTGCTCGCATTTTTATAGATCAGGTAGGGGGAAAGAGATGTAAGCCATTCTGAAAGGCTCCATCAATGCATTAGCTATGGAAAGAGGATGAAGGAAGGTAAGAGGGACTACTTCCAGGATGGGCAGCAGAGCCCACAAGGAAGTGTAGGATCCTTTGGATTAGCTGTGGGAAGCAGAAGGAAAATTCATATGTAAATAAGTGGGGGCTCCTGGGGTTCCATGGCGCCTGTGGCTTTTGGATAATGGGGATAATCACCACCTGGAAATTAATCCTAAATTCCAACAGATATACTGAAATGTGAGCAGTCTTGTCAGAGCTGTTTCACAGCTATTAACAGGCTGTTCTGTCAACTTCTCTGCTCCTCTGGAGCTGTTATTTTAATTCAGAACATCTCAGAACTTGTCAAACCCTAAACTGGCATGCCACAAACTTGTTATTGAAGCTCTCTTGGAGTTAGCTCTTCCAATTTTCTGCTGAAGGAAGATAAGTGATTATTTTTTTTCACAAATTTGGGATATTTCAGTATTAGTAATAACAGCTGGATTAAAATTCAGTGGGATTTAAGATTCAAGAAAAACTGAGAATCTCAAAGCCAGGCTGTGGGGTTTGCACTCAGATGACTCATTACTTTTATTCAAATTACCACCATACTTGAATTTCAAGGTGCAGTTTGCCAAGGCTGCAAAATGAAGCACAACCACAACATGAAATTATATGTTGGCTAGTCTCTCCCAGATGAAAGTTGAGTATTATAAATACCATCTATTCTCAACCAAATAAAAGATGTAGGAGGTCAAATCATAAGCAAAGATCTGACAAACTAAAGGTCAGGCAGTTGGAACAGTTTAATCACTGGGTAGAAAAATCAACAAGGCACTCTGAAAGAAATTAAGTGGGAGATCAGGGTTTGCAAAAATAACTTTATGACTTTGTGCACTGTGTGTTACAGTCAAACATCAAATGCTTGGACATGTCTAAGATGCCACTCTACATTCTTTCAGAATAATCATTTAGAAAACCACTCAATTTATAATGAAGAATCAATTAGTATTGTTCTATTTAATAATTTTGGTTACAATCAGAACTTTAAAATTTAGGTTTTCTTAAGCTAATATTTTAATCAGCCCTTTTTTTGGTACCATTTATGGTAAGATTTAGCTATTCACATCAAATGGATTCTCTTTAAGGAAGCTTTTCTTGGCTGATAACAATTGTCAGATAATGACTTTCTGTACTAAATTCGTTAATGATGGAAAGGCACTGAAAGCTTTTTGTTTTTTTTTTTTGGCAAGTATGAGGGTTGGGTGGGCAGAGTGGGAATTAACATTTTACATAAATTATGCTACTTAGTGATTTATAATCATTACATTGAGTTCTAGTCTGCTTGAGCAAGAGTGAACTGTTAATTACCCTTGGGAAATTTAATGGGTTACACTGTAACCCTTACAGGGAAGAACCTCTTGGCATCCCACAGGCAGTAGTTTGGCCTAGGGTGGTAGCAGTGGCAAAAAGATTTAATGCCTTGTAGATAAGACTTTATTACGTTTTCTAAAGCAGTTTCTGGGGAGGGGGTTTCCAAAGCTAATTCCAAGGAGATGATCTTAAAGGACACTGGGACATCAGAAGGAGAAATGGGTGGTGGGGTAGTGCACTGTTCAAATTTGGGCTCCCTCAGTTTGAGATGTTGGCAAGATTTCCAGCTGGAGAAAACCAGCAGATAATTGGAAATATCCTAGAAGGATTAGCCATGCTATGGATTCATAGAAGAAAACAATGTTTTTCATTATTTAATCTGTAACTGCACAGTAACACCCAACCATTAGGCTGCCGACATTTTCTGGTATGCATGAGAAAAAGCAACTATTTCCATTGTTGTAAAGGTTTTATTGAAGAAACTTTGTGAATATAAACATTTAATGGCTAAGTGAAGACAAACATGGTGACTAAAAAAGTGGAAGTGAATTTTGTTGTATCCATTCAAAATACTGGAGTATCTGTTGTAATGTCGATTTATTTGATGCTGGTTAAATGTGTAACAAGTTATATGAATCAGCTGTAATACTAAAGTCATTAAACAACCTCCACACTCAAGTTTCCTGGTCCCAAAATGACTGTTTTGGTTTCTGCTTTCTCTAATACATCTGCTAATTCTTATTTTCAAGAGAAAAAGACTGTACCCAAATTCACCCTGATCAGTGCTAACATTTCTTTCGCTGTACCTTGTTTATTCCTAGGTCAATCAAAACAGTATGTGAGTGACTGTCCCATCTGGCATGAGATCACTATATTCTCCTAATGTATATGGAATACTGCTTCTTTCTTCCCCTCAAAACAGGCAGGATTGCATAATCCTGGACCTCAGAAGTACTTATGAATTACTACTGTTGCCCTCTCCCTCAACAAACACTATTTACCTCTGCTTTGAGAACGTATCTTTAAAAGTAATGCTCCCAACTAAACCACTCAGCCAGTAGCATTTTTGAGAAAAATAAAACATGAAACAATGCATTCTTAGGGGGAAGAATTTCTAACCCCAGGCAGGCAGAGGACCTAGTAATTACTCTAATGAATACGTAAGAGGCCTGTAGTCAGGTTCCTACCCTTCCAATTTAAAACTGTTTAGATGGACCAGTAAGTTGTGCAATATAAAGTAGGCATCTAAAATGTGCATCTTTAGGCTTAGGTGCCAAGGATAACCCCAAGGCATGGAACTGTAAGAGGCAAGCGCTGGGTTTAAAAGGCGTTTCTCAGCTGGTAGTTATTTCTCTTTAATTCAAGAAACAAGTGAACTTCCTTAATATGCTAGTTTCTGGTTACCACCTGACAGGTCAGTTTGTAAGGAGAAAGGAAAATAGATGATAGGGTGATAGGGAGGGAAGGAAAGGGCGGAAAAGCAACGATATTTCGAGTTCGAGGTAGGATTTTGCCAGTCTTACGATTCCAGCATGGCATGGATACTGACAAAATCTGGCTTTTCCAGACTACTGCTTTTGCAGAGCTGGTATAAATGAACTTGATGCTCAAAGGAGAAACCTCTCCTCTTCCTTCTATTCTCCCAAATGTACCTCGCCTCTTGTACTTCCAAAGTCTCACTCCCTAGAATCGTAGAGATGGGATTCTTTCCCTATTTCTTATGACACTCCTCCACGAAAGAAGCGGAGTCATTCCCCTCTTTGCAGATGCCTCAATCACTGCACTCAAATTAATATTTAACTGTGATGTTTTCTGATTTCTGAACTCCCGAGTAACTCAAGCTCTTCTAATCCGGTTCCCGGTTTCCCCAAGAAGTTGGCCCGCCTTTCCGCGCCTCTGCAGCGGCCGCCCCCTAACTGCCCGGGAAGCGATCACAGTGCAAACGAGGGAGCTGCGCGCGTGGCTGCCCGGACGCTCAAGTGCTCCCGCCCTCTTCCCCAAACAGATCTTGTACGTGATTGGCCCGCGCTCAGTTACCTACTCCAAGGTGTGGGGTGAAGGAAAGGGTACTCCTTTGGGAAAGGGGATGGTAGAAGAAAGCACGAGTCCAACGCTGCAGTCTCCAGAGATGCCGGCGCTACTGACTGAGTCAGCCGCGCCTCGCACTTATAAGAGGACTTCCCTCTCCCGGCACCCGTAGAACCCCAGCCGGTGACACATTTAGAGGATTACCTTCCGGGGCAGTGCGCGTCCAGGAGAGAAAGCGGAGGCGTGCAGTTCTTAAAGACCCCTTCTCAGTACTTCGGAGTTCCATTCCCAGAACCCGAACTGTGGTGTGTATGTATATACACTAAAAGTACTCCCCACAATTCTTTGCTCCCTTTCCTAGCACTTCCTCCTTATTTTATGGACCGGAAGAGTCCGGGAGCCAAAAGAGCTCGGCAGGCACTTCCGGAACTGGAGAAGTGGGTTCCGGAAGGGTGTTGGAGGGGGAGAGAGAGAGGACGGAGGCCGCTGGAGGATGAAGAAGGAGCATGTGCTGCACTGTCAGTTCTCTGCATGGTACCCATTGTTCCGAAGCCTTACCATCAAGAGGTAAGACGGGAGGGGCTAAGCCAGGGCCATGGCAAAAGGGAACTACGACATTTTGGGCGAATTCTAATTCCATTAAAAAAAAAAAATGCAGGCCTTGTAACGACTGGATAGGAGCACCAGGGCCAAGATTTCGACTTCATAGTGGTATTTCAGGTGGGGAGATTAATGAAGTCGATCTGTATTTGCCGTGAGTTCTGTTGCTTATCAGGTTGTGCTAGAGCGGGTAAAAGGATATGTCATGGTTCAGAGAAGGTGAGAGGCTGCTGAGTAGTAGTTTAAGCCAGTTTAGACTTGGGAGTTAATCATTGTTTTTAGAATTACCAGAGAGAGGAGGTGATCAGAACTGGGGAGTCCCGTCTTTGCCACTTACTAAATCCACCGGGGGACTTACTTGCTTCCAGTGTGATAAAATAAGAACAATGATACACACCCCATCTCAAATTATATTGTGAAGCTCCAGTGTGACAGTGTATATGGAAGGCGTTAGTAAAGTATAATTATATATTGTCAAGGATGGTCATATACTGCGAGAGGAAGCTATCCGGAAAAGTTGTGGAACAGTATTTGTTTTCTAGTTCTCTAGTCTACCAACGAGAAATCCATCCCTATTTTGCAGGGCAGGCATAGGATTAACTGTTTCATCCTTCACCCAGGAGATTCAGATTTTGTAGGCAAGGCAGCTAGCAGAATATCGCCAGATGTTCAAAAGCAATCATAACTCTGGAGTATTATGCATGAGTAGGCATTCATTCACTAGGAGGGATAGATCAAAGAACTGCATGTGCATGGGTAGGATTTTCTGTAATTTAGGCCAACATTGCTGCTTATTTAGATATTTACTGTCTCTTGTTTTTCATTCTGTCCTCTTAATGCAGAGAGTGTGAAGGCAGAGGAAAACTGTCTTGAAATCCAGAGGGACTGAAAGAGCATAAGGAGATTATTCAAGACTGTTTTTTTCCATTCTCTTATTCATACATAGAATCTGCTTCCTGTTACCCATGGTGTAATGCAGGTTAGAGCAGCTCAAAGGAAGATAAGCTTTGCATTTGAAGATGGTAAAAGTCATACCAAAGCAAAAAAAAAAATAGCTTGAGTAGCAGCTGTGGACATTACCTCCTATCATAGAAGTAGTCTTATATGATATGCCAATCCTTCGTTACCTGACATAATTTAATTAGGCTTTGGGTTTGAGGTGGTGATAGAGTCATTTATTTTGGGTTGGTATTATATAAGGTATGTTTGTGAACCTGTCAAGACATTTTTGCACTGAGTTCACTTAAAACTGACATTTGCTTTCTGTGCAGTTCTTTTGTAACCTCTGGTGCCCTCAGCAGTGAAGTACAATGGTTAAGAATTGGAATCTGAGTCAGGGCCATCTGCCTGGCTTTGAGTTTTGGTTCCACCAGCATCTTCAGCAAAGAGCTTAATCTTTCTAAGTGCCATCTGGAAAATTGAGACCATAATAAGATTGTCATGGGCATTAAATGAGATAAAGCATTTAAAATGCTTGCCACTGTTTTTGGCATGTAGTAAAAATATGCTGCATGTTGTTACATTTTTAATTTAATCAAAGAGCCATTGAAGCAAAATAATTTTAGTTCACTTAAAATGTGTAACATTCCTGTTAAGCTGAGTGAGAGTGAAAAATAAACCAAGAGGTGGGATTTTCTGAACTGTCCATGACTAAGGTGTTTTTCCTGAAACCATTCTTAACTCTGTTTAAAACTCTTCAGTCTAGTTAGCTCTGTGGTAGTATCACTGGACCTAAAATATGGCAGGATACCCCTCACAGCCCCGGCCAATATGGTGGAATTGTATTAGCTTTGTCATTGCCATTGTCAGCTTTAATGCTGAGAGACTCTTCTGGCTTTTGACTCAGCATTATTATCTGGTGTGTATTAACTATGGTTCAGAGATGATTATGCAGGTAAGAATAGAAGTAATTTTTTGAGAAGTTCTAGAATTTTGATTCAAGCTTACAAAAAAATTAGCTGGAAGACTTTGGGCCATCCACTTTATCTTTCTAAATCTTTCTTTTCTCAAACATGTAAGTCATGTTACTCTTGTAAAGGCCCCTTCTACCTCTAAAATTTCATTAGGATAACTTGTCTGTAAAAAAAAGAACTGTATCAACCTGATGGTGTATTCTGTCATTTAATTCTTTTACATCTGCCAGTTAAGCCTCATTGGATTCTTGCCTGCATAATGTATTTCAGTGACCGATTTAAGCTCTTCTTTGACAGCCTTTCTCATAAATCATGCCTGGTAATGACTTATTCATGGCTTCAGTCTTTCAGGCACTCTTCCTTTTTCCTCCAAGTTTTGGTAGTACTTGGTATGTCTTGGCACAGCACTTAAGCTACTCTGCTGTGATTTTTTTTTCTTTTCCCCCTCATAGGCTTTGCATTCTTAATGGAACCACCTTAGTATTTTCCTTAACTTACTTAACATAATGCAAGATAATGTCATGAGGATGACTTTAGAATTGTGACTGTAGAACTTAGTGACTCATAAGAACTAGAATCCAATGTGATGTCAGCTAATATCTATAGGAGTTGTAGACTGTCAAATAGGAAGAGTATGCAAACAATTCAGAATGGAATCAAACAGTAAATAGATATGTTGAATCTTATCAAGGGATGATACAATCTGGAGGAAAAGTCCAGATTCAGATCAGACTTGAGAATTAGTAGAACTCAAAAACAAATGACATGGACTCTGAAATAATCTACTTGGGGAGTGAGGGACTTTATTAACATAAAAGAAAGCTCTATCTGCTCTCACCATGGTCAAGAAAATCACCCTAGACTTGTAGGAGCTGGTGTCCCTGCCAGCATTTCTCAGTCTCAAGCCCCTGAGAAGAAGTAAATTTCACATTTTCTTGGAAAGGTTTTCTCTAATTCTGTTGGGACGATATTACTTTAGGAGGTATCTTTAATCCCTGGAGAACTAGATTAAATACAGAGGTGATGAACTAATTCAAACCTAATAGTTTTTATCTTTTTTTTCTAAGTTTATTTAATATCTTTAAAAATTTTGCCATTTTGAGGATAATTAGCATATATAAAAAACAGATTAGCCTTGTGGTTCCAATTTAAATTGTATAATTAGTTTAGACTGTGCTACAGTCTAAATCCTGTGTTGGATTTGGCAGTTAAACTGTAAGAAAAATTTTCACATTTTAAATAATATTGGAATGTTTGCAAGAACCTTAAATTCGTAATACTTAAAGGTTAATTTGCTCGTTTCATGAGCGTTAAATACCTTACTTGTAATTAGTTGACATACAGGCGTGGCCAAAAGTATTGGGTTAGTCAAAAAGTCCATTACAGTTTTTCTGTACAATGGCTCTAGTAGTGCTTAGTTGTCTTCAACTTCATTAGAAACAACTTTGTTAGATTGTATTGTGACAGCTGTCCTATCAGTGTGCATTTTAAAAGAGCTTATCAAAATTGGTGAATGTTTGTGCAGCCATTTTAATATTGGAGATGGAATTAAACTAAAGCATGGCCAGTTAAGGAGCTTTATTGCCCTGGTGATCAGTTAAGTATGAAGCCACTGAAACACATCCACACTCAGGCTTATGTGCTCATTGCCAACCAAAGAATGATTTTCAGAATTGTAAGTCAACTTCTGCCCTCTCTCCTAGAAGGTCATCAGGTGCTATTCATCTTCTGGTTTGTTCGTTGCATTTCCTGTGTTGTTGCAATTGTCTGCTGCTCTCTAATTTCTGAAGGCACATAATCATTGTACTCAGAATTTTTTTGAGTTTGTTGCTTTCATACTGTGATTTCAACCTGCTCCTTTGGATTTGGCTGACTTGTGTTTCTTTACCACAAAGACAGTTGTGGTAATTTTATGGACCTAATTTAGCTTATCGCAGTATTTGTTCATATTATTCTAATTCCTAGCTTGCTCACACCAAATGTATATCATTAATACTTCCCACTTCATATATGGGAAAATAATGGGAACAAGTAATTAAAAAACTGAGTTTGGAATGTTTTTCTCTCTGCTTATGCTTGGTCTTTTAAAATGATGCCCTTTTTTTTTTGATATATTCTTTTCTTTTTTTTTTCTTTATTTTTTTCTTTTTTAGTGTTATTCTCCCACTTCCTCAGAATGTGAAGGATTATTTACTTGATGATGGAACCCTGGTGGTTTCAGGAAGGTAAAGTATATCAAAAAAACATTTTTAATACTTTTATCATAAAGGAATGTTGTACTTATTAAATCTCAGCTATTGCCATGTGAAATAAATATATTAGCTTTGGCACCTTTCTCTCACCCTCTTTTTTTTCCTATCTAAAATTATGTGCTAATCTTTATCCTGTATTTTTTGTCAATGCTCAGTTACTAAGATTTTCAAAATTGAATACTTCCTTCTCTAATAATTGCTAGTTATGAAATTGGGCAATTCCTTTCTGCCTTTAGAAAATGTATGTAATGATAACTATTCCTTCTGGAAATGGGGAGGGCTGGGGGTAGGAGGAAGAGGGCCTGTTAGCACCCTTTGAGGTTCTTCAGTTTTTAAGATTAAAAATTCATGTTCCTTGCAAACAGAAAGGTTTACTAGGGTGTATCATTTAAGTCCTTAGCATTTTGTTCCCCACGGTTAACTCACCATGGCCCCACCTCCACCTTCTTTGTTCATATAGTTCCTCTATTTGTAAAAGGAAGAAGTTACTATGCTTTAGTCTTTCTAGTGTGAACTTAAAAATGTTTAAGCAATATACAATTTAATGATGTTCCTATGTGTTCATTCAGGTCTCTGCTTAGAAGTCATGTTACCTTAATGCTCATATATCATCAGCCTAATACTAACCCTTGCTGGTATTGTACATCGCTCTTTTTTTGCAATTCTAAAAAATTTGTTTTATGTGGTAAAATATAGATAACATAAAGTTTACCAATATTAACTGTTTTAAAGTTTATAATTTATTGGTATTAAGTACATTTAAATATTGTGCAACCATCACCACCATCCATCTCCAGAGCTTTTTTCATCTTGTAAAACTGATAGCTCTCTGTGCCTATCTGTTTTCTTGTCTGATATCATAGAGCTAACCTCATAGAGTTGTGGCAGGAATAACAGAATATGTAAAATGTTTAGCGCAATGTCTAGGATGTTGTACGCTCTTAAGAAATACTAACTGCTCTCAGATCATCATTAATTTCAGTCTGCATATTAAACAAACACACCAGTAAAAATAAAAGTGAAAAATTGTGATGATGCTATGAAGGAAATGGGGAGGGCACTGACATATTAAGTTACTGGGGGTGGTAGTTGGGCAAAGGATCACAGAGAGGGTCAGAAAATACTCTGAAGAAGTAACTTATGAGCCTCTAAGATATGAAGTGTGGGTGGAAGGTAGTCAGTTAAGGGTGGAGGGAAGAACCTTCCAGGCTGAGGTAACAGCTTAGGAAGAGCTCTGAGTTACAGATCTTCACATACAAGAAACATGCAGTAAGAGAGGGTCCTGTGGTTGGAGCATGGTAGGGTTGAGTGGTACGAGACTCAGTTGTTGAAATGAGTGAGGTGGTTAGGGTTCAGGTTGAGGTATGTGTGAGGGAGTCATGTTAAAGATTCTCGAATTTATTGTGAGTTCAATAGGAAGGTATTGAAGGACTCTGAGCAAGAGAGAGGCTTCAGCAGATTTCAGTTTGTGAACAGTGACTGGTTATTGTATGGGACTTGCAGACCAGTTAGAGAGATTACGTTGGACCAAGTGAGAACGGATCGTGGCTTGAACTGAGATCGTGATACTAGAGTGGGAAAAGTGAATGGAGTTTATGCCTTCGGAACTTGGTCATGGAGAAGGAAGTGGCAAGAATTACTCTCATTTCTTTTTGAAAATTATGGCTATAATTTAAATGAGATACATTTACAATAAAACACGGATTTTGAAGGTACAATTTGATAAGTTTTGATAAATATGTACACCTATTTCACCACCACTCCCTAGAAAACATTGACCATTTCCATTTCCCAGAAAGTCCCTCATGTCCCTTTTTGGTCCTTGTACGTACCCCTTCCCATCCAGGCAAATACGGGTCTCATTTCTATCTCCATAGCTTAGTTTTGTCAGTTCTAGAACTTCATGTAAGTGGGATCATATAGTATGTATGTTTCTGTGTTGGGCTTCTTTAATTCAATATAATGCTTAATGCTTTTGAGATTAATCTGTGTTGGGTTTCATCATGGAGTAACTTTCTTCACACATGTCTTTTTGAAGCTCAGTATTTGTGTTTTGTGTGTGGACTCAGGTATGTATCCCTCTCAGCACATTCCTTGCTATACTAACCTTTCTGTCTGCCTGAGTTCAGATAATAAGTTTGTGAATGAGTATGTGTGTTTAAACTAATTATTTATGGAACTTCATAGCTGCATCTGTTACTATACTATGTGAGTATTTTAGCTCTTTTATAGTAGAGATGATCACTTAAACCAGGCCCACAAATTGAGTGTGTCTCAGATGGTCTGACTCTCAGTGCTTCCAAGTTACTAATCCTCACCGTCCCTTTTTGGCCGCAATTTCTTTCTTTCCTGATCTGTTTGTCTTAAGGCAGAAAAAAAATAGATGCCAATTATAAAATACATGTTAGATATTTTCGTGTTTTGAACCATCACAACTCTGCCAGGAAATAACCTCTGGAGATGATATTAACAAATAATAGTGTAACTATACTGTTAAGAAATGGTTCCACTCAAATTTGTTAAGGGTGTATTATGTATTGAGTGTTCTGTTAGCAATTATCGGAAACACTGTTCCTCCTCTGTAAATCAAGAACTTGACACATTGGTTTAATCAGTTAGTCAGTCTGTTGAGATTTTTGTTAATATATATCAGTTTTCTCAATTTTAATCAACCTTTTTTTAATTCTATAGAATTAAGTTTCTAGATGCACAAAAATATGAACCAGATGGGCTCACGTGTTAGCTTGTGCATGGGGTAAAGTTTCCGAGGCTCTATAATTCTTGGCACTGGGCAGATCCTCTGTTGGTCTTGCCAAGGTCACTTATGCAGCTGTAATGATATGGTGGCTTGACCAAATGGGATGGTTTTAAGATGGCCTCATTCACAGGTCTGGTGGCTGATGGTGACTGTCAGCTGGACCTCTCTTTCCATGTGGTCTCATCCTCAAAAAGACTAATCTTAGCTTCTTTACATAGTGGTGGTTGTGTTCCTAAAAAGTGAGAATGGAAGCTGAAATGACCTTTTTGACGCCTAGGCTCAGAATCACAAGTGATCACTTCTCCTGCCTTTTGTTGGTCACAGTGAGTCTTAAAATCAGTCTAAATGAAAGGGATGGGAAAATAAATGCTATTTCTTCATGGAAAGACTAGCGAACTCACCCTTCAAAACGGTTTATCTAATGTGATGGGAAGAATTACTGTAGCTATCTTTGCACATTATCTAAGGTTTTTTTTCCCTTTCTCCCGTTCACTGTGCTACGTCCTTGTGGGACCTTGCATTCTGGAGACTTACATATATTTTTCAGTTTGGGAACATTTAAAAATATGTCTTTGATAATTTCCTCTTATTTTCTTGCTTCGGTTTCTGGAACTCCACTGTTACTTAGACGTTGGATCTGCTGGATTAATTCTCTGTATTTTATTATTTCTTCTCTATTGTCTGTTTCTTTGTTGTTTTAGTTTTACTTGCTAGGTAATTTCCTTGATTTGCCATTAATTTTGAATTTTCAAATTTCACCTGTTTTCAGTTTCTGCAAGTTCAGTCTTCCCTTTTGTTCCTTTGTTATAGCCTCCTGTTTTTTTTTTCATGGATACATTATCTTCTTTTATCTTTTAAATTTTTTTTTTTATTGTTCAAATACATTTGTCTCCATTTTCCTGTCACCATTTTCCTCTGCCCCACCCACCCCTACTTCCCACCCTCGCACTTTGGCTTTGTCCATGGGTCCTTTATACATGTTCCTTGATTTTACTCTTCCCCTTCTTTTACCCGTTATCCTCCTTGCTCCTCCCCTCTCCTTACTATCAGTTTGTTTTTTCTTTCAATGTTGCTGATAATATTTTACTTGCTTGTTTGTTTTGTTGATTAGGTTCTACTTAGAGTTGATCATATGGTATTTGTCTTTCACCCCCTGGCTTATTTCATTTAGCATAATGCTTTCCAGTTCCGTCCATGCTATTTGCAAAGGGTAGTAGCTCGCTCTTTCTGCTGCGTAGTATTCCATTCTGTAAATGTACCATAGTTTTTTGATCCACTCATTTATTGATGGGCACTTAGGTTGCTTCCAGCATTTGGCTATTGTAAATTGTGCTGCTATGAACATTGGGCTGTATAGGTTCCTTTGAATTGGTGTTTTGAGATTCTTGGGGTATAATCCCAGCAGTGGAATTGCTGGGTCAAAAGGCAGTTTCATTTTTAGCTTTTTGAGGAAATTCCAAGCTGTTTTCCACAGTGGCTGCACCAGTCTGCATTCCCACCAACAGTGTACTAAGGTTCCCTTTTCTCTACAACCTCGCCAGCACTTGTTATTCATTGATTTGTTTATGATGGCCATTCTGACTGGTGTGAAGTGGTATCTCATTGTGGTTTTAATTTACATCTCTCTGATGGCTAGTGATGCTGAGCATCCTTTCATATGTCTCCGGGCCCTCTGTATGTCCTCCTTGGAGAAGTGTCTGTTCGGGTCCTTTGCCCATTTTTTAATTGGATTGTTTGTCTTCCTGAAGTGGAGTTGTGTGAGTTGTTTATATATTTTGGAGGTCAGACCCTTGTGCGAGGTATCATTAGCAAATATATTTTCCCATGTGATTGGTTCCCATTTCATTTTGCTGATGTTTTTATTAGCCGTGCAGAAGCTTCTTATTTTGATGAAGTCCCATTTGTTTATTCTTTCCTTTATGTCCCTTTATGTCTAGGGGACATATCAGTGAAAATACTGCTGCATGGAATATTTGAGAGTTTCCTGCCTATATTCTCCTCTAGGATTTTTATGGTGTCGTGACTTATATTTAAGTCTTTTATCTATCTTGAATTTATTTTTTGTGTATGGTGTAAGTTGGTGGTCAAATTTCACTTTTTTTCATGTAGCTGTCCAGATCTCCCAACACCATTTGTTGAAGAGGCTATTTTTACTCCATTTTATGCTTCTGCCCCCTTTGTTGAATATTAATAGCCCATATAGACATGGGTTTAT